CTGTGGCAGTGGGAAGCCATTCCCCCTGGTCCTGGCACTTCATCCCTCTGGAATAGTCTCTCTCCATTTCTCCTGTGGRCTCCTTCAAGCACTGGAAGGCCACAATTCTCTCCAAGCTGAACATTCCCAATTCCTTCAGCCTTTCCTCTCAGCAGAGCTGCTCTGATCATCCTGGTGCCTCCTCTGGACTCTGCAGCAGGTCTGTGTCCTTCAATCCAAACCCACAGGGAATGCACAGCTTGTGGCAGCGATGCCTTAGGATTTTTTTAGTTTCTGTATTTTCATGTGTCTGCATTCTTGTACTTCTCCAGTGCACAGCACTAAAGCTCCTGTTCTCCCATCTTTAGACAAAACAATTCCTCTCTGGGCCTGAAATCCAAGGACACTTCRCTGCCTCAGAGCCCCAAAATATGGAAACAACAGAGAATTGAGGGGAGCAAACTTGGGGTGGGTGACATCATCACCTGAAGGTGTCATTGGGGAATTGAGGCCCAATGTGTGAATGAGACAGAACTTATAAAAGAGGAAGATCTCGTGACTCGGGGTCCATTTTGGGTGTAGCCTCAGGAGGAGATTTTGCCTGCCCTCAATGTACCTGTAGGCCTGGATTAAACTTGTCTGGCTTTATTTTCTTCACTTTGTCTGGCCTCTGTTTCAGGTGAGCCTTGTTTTAGGCATCAGCAGTACTGGCTTTGGGTTTAGCTGTTTATCACTGCTAACAACATCAAGTGTAGCACTGAGGGGGAGGTGCTAAAACYCTCTAAAACCCCTAAAAACATCCAAAACCACACTCCTTTGTAYGATTTATGAACTGAATTTGAACTGATCAGGGCATGACCTTTTCCAGGAAGGGGCATCCACTCCTAACCCAGAGCTGGAGGCTTTACAAGCCCCACCAATGCAGAGCAGAGATGAAGAGTGATTTATTAGTCACCAGCAACTTTCTGAGCATCTTTCTAAGCTCCAGGAGGTGGGTATCCAGCACATGAGGAAAACACAGCTCCAGCAGCCTGCACAGCAAAGTGCTGACAGCCAGAAGGCACGAGAGAGCGGCCATCCACAGCTGAATTTCCATAAACTRTGTTCCCATTTCGTTTCCATCTCAGTTAAGCATTTCACTGTGGGTGGGCTATAGGCTGGACTCTTGGAGCAGCACAGACAAAGTGCACATTGCATCCAGCTGCCTACAGAGCTGCCATGCCAAAATTTGCACCAGTCCTACTTCCAAAGGCAGGAGTGGGGTGGGAGACAAGGAGAAAGTTTATTTCTTGCTGTAGGGGGTGTGTGGTGTGGGGTAGGTACAAAATCCTGCCAGCTCGGAGCGAAAGAAGGGTCAGCAGTGCCTTGCTTGTTCAGAAGCTGCTGAAAAATGTTTTTTTTTTTTCCAGCAGGTCACTCACAGATAGGSATTCCCCAGCTCTATGAACCTCTCCCTTCCAGCTGCAGCAGCRACTGTACCTCGTGGCATGTCCCTACCACAACAACCAGCCACCTTTAGTTCACTTGTGCACCCAAGATTTGCATTTGCAAACCAGCACCTTCATGATTTCTTCTGCATTGTTCCCAAACTCAGAGGGAACCCAAGAAAAACAGCTGGGAAACCAATTCCTTCTCCTTTGGAGAATCATCCATGTGAGCTCTCTGGAAGAGCTGAGTTACACCATCACTGCTGTGTTTCCACTACTGGAGAGGAAGTTTGGACAAGAGCCTGCAGTGACAGGACAAGGGGAATGGCTTCAGACTGGAAGAGAGTAAGTTTAAATTGGATACTGGGAAGGAATTGTTCCCTGTGAGGGTGGAAGGCCCTGGCACAGGGTGCCCAGAGAAGCTGTGGCTGCCCCTGGATCCCTGGAAATGTCCAAGGCCAGGTTGGACAGGGCTTGGAGCACCCTGGGACAGTGGAAGGTGTCCCTGCCCATGGCAGGGGGTGGCCCTGGGTGAGCTTTGAGTTCTCTCCCAGCCCAAACCATTCCTGGATTGGATGGTACCGGAATGCTGCTGCCTCCTTGACCCTCCCCCTGTCTCAATTTGTTACCTGAATTCCCATTTAAGGTGGATTTACTGAGGCAGTGACTGTCTCCTGCTATCACATYGATGTTCTGCCCAGCACAGCAGTGTCCCAGGCCATAAGGTACAAAATACATTTCTGTATTTTCTCTCCTTATCAGATCCAGATTATCACCAAAGTCAATAGTGAGAATCACCATGGTTTACACCTACYAGTGATTCCATAAGCCATCACCCTCTGGACAGCAAAATCTAACTCCTGACTTCTCAGGGATTTGCCAGGAAGAACTTGGGGCAATTTGAGGACAGCAAAGGGTGGCACAACACTTGTGGAGTCTCCCAGACCACAAAGAGCCTTCCCCTGATACTCCACAAGCATGTGAAACCCCAGGAAGGATGGGCCGCTGGAGTGCAATCAGAGTCCTGGCTGCACACTGCATCCACTGCACAGCTCATCCCTGACCTGGCCTAMAGCTTCTCCCATCTTTAAAGTGGGAATTACCAACTCTCCCAGCTCCCCACAGCCCATCTGTTTGCTTTGTACATTCTCCAGGGCAGAGGCTGTTTTTTATTTGTGTGTACAGCACCACATACAGCCGGGTCCTGCTCTTGGCCAGGGCTGCAGGCAGGACTGGAACACAAAGCAATGACGGTATCTTGATCAAACACGAACAACTCGGATAAACAACAGAAAAGCAGCTTGAAATTTTTTTCCCTGCTGTCTCTGCTTTTCCGTGACTTGTTTATTCATCTCAAAGCCTCAGCAGACATCTAATCAAGCTGTTAAAGAGGCAGATTTGTGGTCAGTTGAGCACTTGGGGAGTTGTTAAACGTTCAAAACCAGTTCTAGTCAGCAAACAGCTTTTTTTT